GTAATGAGTTTCCCATATTTGGAAGCCTTCAAGCAGAAGGAGGGTGACCATCTGTCAGATGTGTTATAGAAGAGATCCCTATGTTGGGTGGGAGTTTGCTCTAAACTGCCTCTTAGATTCCTTCCAACTCTAAGATTCTAAATTATTGAGAACAGCATGAATAAAAGATCCAAACCCATTCAAGAACTAAATTATTCAACAAAAGGTAATAGAACTTTCAGCTATGAAGTTGAATCAACCAGACTTTGGGTGCCAGCAATCCCTTTATACAAGGAAAACAGATATAAATCTTTTTAAATGATTTATTTTTTAATTACAATATTAAAATTAATTTTACAAAAAATAATCACTTCATTCAAAAAATTTTTTTCTCTTCCAAATTTGATTTATATGTTCACATAATTTCACCTCTGTAAGACTTATTTCCTAAGCTGAGCAAAATAAGTCCTGAATTACTCTTCTTACCTGCTTAGCTCCTGGGATACAGGATAACCAACTGGCTCTGAAATTATCAGCCTATACTTTTTTACTTACCATTATATTAAAAATGTTTTTCACATTGACATAAAACCTCCACCTTTACAGTTTTAAAACCTTACACATTTGTTTTGATATACCATAGTTTTCTCAGCCAATTTCCCTACTAGAGGACATTTAGATTACTTTCAGCTTTTCACTGCCTTGAACATCTTTATACAAACAACTTTTTCCTTTTTTTTTTTATTTTTATTTTTATTGACAAATAATTGTATATATTTGTGGGGTACAATGTGATGTTTTGATATGTGTATACGTTGTGGAATGATTATATCAAGCTAATTAACATATTCATCACCTCACATACTTATTTTTTTGTAGTGAGAGCATTTAAAATCTATTCTTTTATTGTATTTTGAATCTGTAACACATTATTATTAATTATGGTCAGCATGCTGTGCAATAGATCTCCAAAACTTATTCTTCCTGTCTGAGACTTTGTACCCTTTAGCCAACATCTTCCCACTTCCATCCCACCCCCTTTTTAATTATTTCCTAAGTATAGGGTTAGTTGGCCAAAGGATATGGATATTTTTATGATTCAGAATATGTACTGCTCAAAATAATGTTATGAGTTTGTGGAGCTACTAGGAATGATGGAGTTTAACTATTTCCTAAGGCATTGTCCACGTTAGGTTTTATTCAATGTTTAAAAAAATTGCTAACAGATATTAAATGGTACTTTATAATTTTTTTCCCATTTCCATGTTTTTCTCTACTAGTGAGTTTAAATAGCCTTCTCAAGGCTTTTTTTTTTTTTTTTTTAATGAAAACAGCTCTTACTCCTCATTCTTACTGTAGGGAGAGAATTCAGCAGTGCATCTGGATGCAAAGAAGTCACCAGAGAAAGGGAATAAAGCAGAGAGGATGGAAATTATTTCCAAGAGGAAGGGCAAATTTCTCCTTCTTCTAATCAGAATGGACTCTGTGGGAAGGCTAGGGAACATGGAGAGAGCATTGGTTCAACATCTCCCTAATACCAAACTTAAACTAAAGGAACACCAAATGTAGGGAGGGCTCTCCAGTAAGTTCTTTTTCCCTTAAATTCATATAAACTGTCCAGAAACCATAGAGTTTTCTGGAATTGTGGTTAAGATTCCAAACATCTCAAAAATAATTTCCTATACTGAAAGCCTTGCTAAATAGTAAGGAAGCAGATGAAAATCATAGGAGAGGCAAAAATTAAAGCATAGGAAGCTCCTAATAAAATAACATCATAGCATGTCAAAAATCAAACTGACTTCATCTTAAAATGAAGTTTGAGATGTTTCCACAAATAACTGCATTCATTTTCTATGATTATATTACCAGTTGAGTACAGATCTCTCTTATTTGTCTATTTTTCCTTCTAGAAAGATGTATGAATAGAATAAGAAAGAAGAACATTAAAAAGTAATAAAAAAGGCATGAAAACAAGGGATTAAAAGCCCTTGCTTCCACAGCAACTGCACAACCTCATTTGCACTACACAGGCCACTCCTTAGACTTGCATCTTGCCACTTATTAATTCCTGGGAAAGCACAAGATAAATACCCTCATAAAATCACAACTAAACATACAATTTGAGAACAACATGTTATAGTTGCCTAGGTAAAAACGATTGTATATTTCCACTGGAAACTGACAGTGATTGCTTTATGTGTATACTATACCATTGTGTAGTAAACTGGAAATAGCCCTCCCCTCCCATAAGATGTACTTGAAAGTGTATTATTACCTGGGATATATTCTCAATAATGTCTTTTGCATAAAATGCTACCATTATAGTTGTTTAAAGAGGTGGTTCTCTAGGTCTCCAGGAAAAAAATGAAGTGTCTATGAACAAAAGAATAACAGTTCAAAGACCAACTCACTCACTAAACAAAAGGTAGATGACACTAAGAAAAAGAAAAAGTTTTGACTTCAGTCCTAGATTCTGGCCATTCCTTGGTGAAAGTTCTTAATTTTTGCCAAGAGAAACAGACTAATTAGAAGGAGATTTAAATGAAAGCTTTGTGAGAATAGGGACCTAGACCTGGGCCTAATGCTTAGTGGTGTTCAACTGATACCTGCCAAAAACAGAATGAATGTACTTCTCAAAGAATCAAGAAGAAGCCTGAACGTACCCAAGACCAGACACTATATTCTAGACTAAGGGATTTCTGTAAGACCTGTCCCCTAAATTGACAAATCTAAGCTCTGTATTACTCTTTTTTTACCTGGGTACTTCAAAGAGTTCATGGAAAGAGTCATATCTTTTAATTCTATTTTTCCATGAACTTTTTGAAGTACTCTAATATATTCTGTGCCTTCTGAGTCCTTATGTATACAAGAAGTTTCTGTTCACTCTTTAGCCTGATTGAAGAGAATCAGGCTTAAACTAGACACAAGCCAAAAGACGGAGAACTTCAAAATGTGCCTTAAGTTCACAGAGTTGGTAATAAGGGGTTGATGTTCTCTGTGCCACTGTACATAATTCTAAACTTTTATTTTAAAAAAGATAAGGTCACTTTTTATAAGAAACACTACTACTAATAGCTAAACCAAAATTTCAGGAATGAAAATGACATTAGAAGAAATGAGGCCCATCAGGGATGGTTCTGGGTTCACATGGTGACATTTGTTTCTGATTATACATATATTAAATGCTGTCCTCTGGGGTTTTAAAGACTTTTAAGAAAGAAAATAAACCAGATTCATCTGCTTTCTAATTTGTGACATCCAAAAGCATGTTTTCTAGTCCCTAGAGAGACTGGGGCCTATTAGAGAGGGTTGTGTGAGAGAGAGAGACTCTATGTACACAACAAATGGTGAGAGATTGGGTATAAGAGAGATTGTATGTGTATGAGACTGTGTGTATGTGAGATCATGTGTGTATGAGAGGTACAACGTGTGTATGAGAGAGACGATGTGTGTGAGAGAGAGATTGTGTGTAAGGATGCGTGGGGACTCTCAGTCTTCTAACTACCAAAAATAGGAAACAAGTAGTTAAAATGAACTTACGAGTTCCTGCCTATTTTAATTCCTTCTCTGGGCCTAAAAACATTTTTTAAAAAGGTTCCAAATAACTTAATCTTCTCCATACCTATGCATATTTGCTTTTCATTGATAGCCTGATTTTAATCTATTCAATAGTTCACTTTCTCAATATATAGAGAAGAGATACACACACGAATGTAATTTCTTTCTTTTTTTTTTTTTTTTTTTTTCATGGCAGCCTGTATAGGGAACGCAACCCTTGACCCTGGTGTTATTAGGCTGCACTCTAACCAGCTGAGCTAACTGGCCAGCCTCTAAAAACTGTGATATTTTATTTAAACACACTTCAATTTCCTTTTAACAAAATGGATGAGGTAGTAAGAAAAAGAACTAAAAATTAAATGTCACCCTTACCACCTACCAAGGGACATATTCTTACCCAGTTATACAAATATACACAAAGGCAGATATACCACCAAGTGATCCCAAGGCTCCAACAACTAACACACACCAGGAAATGCTCAACAGAGACAGACAAAGCCACAGACCCTCAGAAAACTATTAGGAGAGAAGCAAAAGGAACAAAAGAGACAGAGAAATGTGTATTCCTTACAAAGGATGGACATCTGCTCAGAAGGCCAGACAGCCAGCAGCATATCCGGGCACACCCCAGTGCCAGGTAAAAACAGAGGGAGCCCACTGGAGAGTGTAACTTGGTGTATGTGTGCGTTTCTTTCTTTCACACACACCCACGTACATTCACTCACAAATGCACTCTTACATATACATGCTCTTTCAGTTTCTCTCTCTTGCTCTCTCACATAGTCTCACACATAATCTCTCACTCACACCCTCTTCAGTCTCTCACACACACTCAATTCCTCTCAGTCTTTCGCTCACACGCCCCCGTTGACCCCGCCCCGCCTTGGCCCCGCCCCGCCTTGGCTCCGCCCCGGCGCCCGGGGGCGGGGCAAGCCAGTGACAGGAGAGGCCGGGCTGGTACTTCGGACTCTCAGGCCGGCGGTGCGCGCTCCGGAGGCTCCTGTCAGTTGCGGGCGCGGCTGATTTCGGGGCGGCCCTCGGGCGGCCGCTGCTGCCTCGTGCGTCGCAGCCTGGACCTCCGGTAG